CCTTTTCAGCAGGAAGTAGCTACGAGAATACGCTGTTCCCTTTTCCTTATGAATCAGGGTGAAGTTTCTCTCAAGGAGGAGTGATAGGGAATGGCAAAGGACACACTGACAAAGGAGATTAATCAGAACTGGTTTTGACAAGCACTGTGGCAATTGGACAATTAAAACAGACTTTCAAGGGGGAGAAAAAAGAAAAAAAAAAGAACGAACTGGGGAGGAGGGTAGAGAAAATAGTGCAACAATGAATGAATGAAAACCCCAAATCTCTGTAAATGTTCATCAAAATTAATAAAATTTAATAAAAAAAGAGAGAGAGAGATGATAAGATATTATTGTCATGACAGGAGTCCGGAATGAAGGCTGTATAATGGAGTGGACTTTGGGGGAGGGATTGTATAACAATGAAAGAATTTTACTTTTCAAAGAGAAGAGCGAACTGGGGGTAGGATGGGGTAGGCAGAGAGAAAAGCGCAACAATGAATTAATGGAAATCCAAAGTCTCTGTAAACTTTCATTAAAATTAATAAAAAAAATTAAAAAAAGAATGAAGGCTACATAGTGGAGTGGACTTGGGGAGAGGGATTGTATAACAAGGAAATAATTTTTCTTTTACTTTTCAAAAAGAATAGCAAACTGTGGGGAGGGGTGGTCACGGAGAAAAGTGCAACAATGAACGAATGGAAATACAGTCTCTGGAAATTTTCATTAACAAAATTAATAATAAAAAAAGAAAAAAAGGCTCTCTCAGACAACTTTTGTGGGATGTATAAATTAGAATAACAACTTTGGAAAGCAGATGACATGATCCACTAAAACAATTCAATTCCCAAGAGAAAGGTGTATCTCTATCTGTTCTTGCACAAGCATAGTTCCAGCAGCATTATTAGCTCAAATGGGAATAATGATAACATCAATCAAATACAATGGGATTTTAAATAGTAATGAAAATCAATCTACTATCCATTTATTAAAACATGAGTGTGGGTGAACCTCAAAATACACTGAACAAAAAAGAAACTGTGCTCTATAATTCCACTTCTATTAAACTTGAAAGCATGCAAAATGAAACTACAATCTTATAAGAACACATACTTAAGATGGTATAGAAATATAGAAAGAAAGCAAGTAGTTTCCATGAAAAGTCAGATTAGTGGTTACTTTGTAAGAATGTGAAATGATAAGAGAACAGGTATACTGAAGGCTCTGGAGGGGTGCTGGAAACATTCTAGACCTTGACCTGTGTGTGGTGGTTACACTGGTACCTATGTTAGTGAAATGTATCAAGTTGTATGTTTCTAATAGTTCATATTTTAAAAAACAGTAATTTTATTTCTTAATCTAGCAAGCAGATGCTAACTCAAGATTACATCTCTTTCCTCGTCTTCTTTAATATCTCTCTTAATTGGACCCTTTCTGCTTTTTGGAAACAACAAAACACTCAGAACTTTGTTCTTAGATTTTGTTGTTATTATTTATCTACATTTTCTTTCTATACAATCTCATTCAATATCTTGATTTAAAATATCATCTATATACTACAAACTAACATGTTCTAACAATCTGCTGCAGCCCTGGATGGGCTCATGAGACTGTGTCAAGAAATTTGGAAGACAGGTACCTGCCCAAATGACCAGAAGAGATCTATATTTATACCCATTAAAAAGAAAAAAAAGTGACTCCACAGAATGTAGAAATTGAGCAATATCATCACTACCATGCTAGCAAAATTTTCTGAAAATTCTTTTTTTAAAATGCTAGAATAGTATATCAACAAAGAACTGCCAGAAATCCAAGCTAGACTTAGCAGCAGAGATATCACTGCTGATATCAGATGGATCTTGGCTGAAAGCAGAGACCACCAGTAGAATGTCTATCCATGTTTTATTGACAATACAAAAGAATTTGACTGTGTGGATCATAACAACAATGCCTAACACTGAAAAGAATAGGAATCTCAGGATATTCAATTGTGCTCCTGTGAAAACTGTACCCAGACCAAGAGGTTGCTTGTCTGAACATGGCTTAAAATTGGGAAAAGTGTACATCAAGGCTATATCCTTCTTCCACACTTTTTCCAATCTTTATGCTTAGAAAATAATTTGAGAAACTGGAATTTATGAAGAAGAATGTGGCGTCAGGATTGGAGGAAGAACAATCATCAATGTGTATTATGCAGATGACATAACCTTGCCTGCTGAAAGTAAGGAGGACTTAAAACACTTGTTACAGAAGATCAAAGACCACGGACTTCAGTATGGATTACATCTCAACAAACAAAAATCTTCACCATTGAACCAAGAAGCAGCATTGGGATAAAGAAAAGTTAGAAACTGTCAATGATTTCATCTTACTTGGTTATACAATAATCATCCTTAGTACTAAAGTTAAGAAATCAAAAGATGTGTTGAATTGGGGAAATTGGACCTCTCCAAAGTGTTAAAGTACAATGATGTCAGTTTACAGACTAAGAAGCATGTGATCCAAGCCATGGTCTTTTCAATTACTTGCTATGCATCTGAAAGTTGGACAATGACCAAGGATGTCTGAAGAATTGATGCTTAGTGTTGTGATGTTGGTGAAGAATGCTGCATATCCCATGGGCTGCCAAAAGAACAAATCTGTCTTGGAGAAAGTGTGAGAACAGTGCTCCTTGGAGGCAAGGATAGTAAAACTTCGTCTCACATACTTTGTACATGTTGTCAAGAGGGGCTGGTCCCTGGGGAAATATATCATGCTCTGAAAAGTAGAAGGACAGCAAAAGAGAAGAAGATACTCAACAAAATGAACTGACACAGTGGCTGTAACAATGAGCTCAAGTGTATCAGAGATGAGAAGGACAGAACAGGGTTCAGATCCATTGCTCATAAGGTTGCTAGGAGCTATAACCCACTGGAAGGCATCTAACACCACCAGCATCATTCCCTGCAGACATCCAGGTTCCCTTTAACTTCCCACCTTGGGTTGCAATGCTGGGAACAATATCTTTATTCATGTCTAAGAACCTGTCTTGGAAACATACTCAAAATGGATTTCAGAGAGTGTTCATCTCACATTCTCAGAGTGACCAAGAGCCACTAGAAGGTACTACAGCAGAGGGAGCAACACTAGCCTATTGTGAGCATCCACCCTACCTTGCTTACCTGTTCTCTTAGGGTTTCTAGGCTTCTGTTAAGTGTTGTGATGTGTTAACTGGATTGTTCCTCTAGACCCAGGCATTCTTTCTCTTGAATGTTGATTGCTGCAGGCACACAGTGCTGGCTGACCCCAGGAATTGTTCTGGTAGAAGGAGCAGCACATTCAAGGTCATCTAGTCTGGAGGCTGGGGAATCCTTGTCAAGTGACTGATCAATGCTTCAGGCGGAGTTTAAGGACTCACTCCTCTTGTCTCAATATGGGAAGCTTCTGAAGGGACATCTATCTCTAGAATGTCTTGTGTTTTCTTGAGAGTCACAACTGACCCATAGTGGACCCTCCAACGTGTTTTCAGAGACAATAAATCACACAGGAGGAGATGGCTTATCTTTCTCCCAAGAAGCATCTGATGGATTCAAACTGCATACCTTTGGGATTGCAGCTTAACTTCTTACCACAAGGCCACTAGGGCTTCCACAATATCCTATAGAAAGTGCAAATGCTTCTTTGCAACTAGCAGACACTAGGTAACTAGGTAACCTGCTCATCTACTAAGTAGAAGGTTTACTGTTCAAACCCACTTAGATGCACCTCAAAAGAAAGAATCAGTGAAGTATCCTAGAAGAAAATCTTCCAAAATTGTTTAGGGCATCGCTCTACACTGTATGGAGACTTCTTGAGCTGGCAGCTGCTCTCATTTTGTTTCCTATTGCAATGGTTTCTCAGTTCAACTTCTCTACTCAGCCTGTTTCTTTGGATCTCACACAGGTGCTGTTCCCAAGAATAGCTTCCAAAACTTTTTTTTTTAAATGTAAATCTCTGTTTCAGAGATTGTTTCCAGTCTGGTGAGAAGCAGGAAATAACCTGAAACTATAAGGACAGTTACCTTCAGCTCCACATACAATGTTGTCGTGAACATTTCTGTAATATTCACTCATGGACTTATTCTAGAAATGTTCACAGATCTAGCTAATCTATGATAGCTAACTTTAGTAAGTACTATCCACAAAGTCTGTACCATTCTAATCTCCTGCCCTCTCACAACGAACATGCATTTGTCATTACTCACTTTCCTCCACATTTGGCTTAAAAAATAACTTTCCCAAATCAGTTTTTGGCCTATGTTCCATAACCAAAACATCCATAAAATTTGCATTTTGTGGTTGAGATTTTAGTTCTGTTAAGGGAGGGAAATGTATTGAAAATGATAGTTATTAAGACATGAATTCAAATAACCACAAAATACTCACATATCTAAATTTTTGCCCAAAAAAGTAATGAATATTGCTTTCTCAACAAATAACATTTTAACAGTTTGGGTCTGGTAGGTGTATGTGTACTATTTTCATCCTTGGTGTGAAAACTGTAATTGTTCAGGAATATTTTTTTCTAGAAAATATTTATGAACATGCCTTATGTGGATTTTACTGGGCATGGGAAACAAGAGAACATTTCATCAATGTTCAAATGTGCATCTTAATGGAAAAGATAAGAAAACTCAAATTATGGTTAATTCCCCAATCACTTATTTGGAGGCTATCACATTGGCACATAGATGAGGCCCAGAAATAGGTATCCAATGTTTCTCTCAGAGGGGAAGGACTAGGGAGTGAGGAAGACAGAGGAGAGGTGGAGGGAGAGACTCTGGCCAACAGCAGCTCATCTATTAAGTTTCCACATCATTGAAAATTGGCCATTTTTTTCCACAAACAGAATGCTAATTATTTTTCTTACTGTTTTCAGCACATCTTCCTCACACTTTTTTTTTTTTAGCTTAGCTTACCTATTACATACAAAAAGGCATTCTCATTATAGAGCTACTGCAGTGAAATGCATCTCCACACTTTCCCTTTTCTCTGTGTACTTACTCTAGCAAAGCAATTAAGCAGACGCTTGTCAAAGTCATCTGTCACTCTCCCTCCGTACTGTACTTCTCCAATCATGTACCGGACTGTACTCCAGGACACTCCCTTAATTTTAAGAGAAAGAATAATTGATTGTTAACCAAAACAAATCGTTCTCAATAGGTCAGCTCTTTCCCTAGAGGCAAGGCCTGGAAAATGTTAGCTAGCTTAACATTTCAAATCACTCATTATTTTATACTAACACCACCTTCCCGATTAGATGGCTAGAGCCACTATTGTTTGTTCATGAAAGAAAAATCTACACTAAAAAAGGCTAGTGAAGATACAGTCCCGAGATTATTTAAAATAAGGAGAAAAGAGATCATTTTTTCACTTATTTTAGATAATATTTCCCTCTATGGATTTAATAATTTACAATATTCATTTTAGCAATGCCAAGCTGTTAGAGAAGGGGGGAAAGGATGTTTAGAAAAGAAAGGCAGAAAATCATGTGATCAACATTTTAATATGCTTTCTTCATAATGTATTTTCTGTAGTATGAGAACAGCTAGAAAATTATCTATGCACAGGGTTTTTCTACAATGCAATCTTTTGCTGCCTCTGTGAGCTTGGCCTATCAAAGTATTTATTAATTTTCATAGCAATCTTAAGCTAGCAGAAGATTTCAGATATTCTTTTCTTAATGAAAATATTTTCAATATACTTGGTGTAGAAGAAGTAAGGATGCTTGATTTTTATTTACTTTCTCTTTGCTAAAATGTCATTCTTCACCTTGGTTGCCTTTCACGTCAACTCTCTCAAGGCAACGATTATTTGCCCATAACCAAATGACTCACAATCATAGGGTACTGCAGTTCTTCATCAGATTGCTTCCTATTAAATTGCTATACTCTTAATTTGAATATCCCTTTATCATATCAAGGAGAAATGGTGATTTGACATGAGTCCCACTGCCTACGAATAGATTCACTGTGGCTCAGGGCCGTCACATGGCTCAGGGCCGTCACATGGATACGGCATTCTTCCCTAACTTGAAGACAGACCTTCTGAGGGATAGCAGGAGGGCAGGCGTCATACATTGGGAAGGAAAAGAGGCGCAGCCAGAAGGAAAGCACTATTTATTGAGTCTTAACTATGCAGCAGATACCGTGCTTGCTCACATATGGTTTCATTCATTCATTCTAAAAACAAAGTCCATTTTACAGTTGAAGAAATGGAGGCGCTGAGACACTCATTAACTTGTCCAAGATCATGGGAAAATCCACATTTCCAGCTCTTTATAATACATGTGGGAAAGGATGGTTGAGGTTGCATATTTTACCCTAGGTTCTTGAGGAGACTTCTGTCTGCCACCTCATTAATAAAATGGGGATATTTGCAACCCACTGAAAGCTATACATGACAGAGGTCTTTCATAAAGAAGCACTCTGAAACCTGTGAAGTGCCACTGAGTTGGCAATCATCATTAGAATTTATTGCTATTTAAAGGCATGATCTTAAAAGTCAATTAAGAAGTTAATTTAGGTGAAAAAGAACTTACACATGGGTTGAGAGCAACCATCTTTACCTCTAGGAACCTGGAGTGAGATCAGCAAAGGCTTTCTTTTAAGGTATACCTTCTCTTTGGGGGCATATTGGGTGTGACATAAGGAAGGCTGTGAGATTTTGCAATGCAATGAAACATTGAGTTTCTTCACTGATGCAGCTTCTGCTGTGTGAGTGTGCATATGAGACAGACAGGAGAGAGAGGAGACAAGGAAGTTTGCATACACAGTTACCGTTCACGCGTGAGAAACAACAGCAGGAACAATAATCTGTTGGTTGGAAGGAGGAGTGTTTGGGTGAGTAGGGGTAGGAAGAGGCATCCTGGCAAGTCCATTATATATATCACGGACTGAAAAGGCTTCTAAGTTCCTTGGTTTAAAGAAAACAATAACAACAACAACAAAACAGAAACAAACTATTTCACTTACTTACTTTCTTAATATCACATTCATCAAGGTGATTCTGAATAAACTGAATGCTGGCAGTGAAGTCGGCAGAGTTGAATTCATAGGGAATATTCCATCCTAAGGGGCCAAATTTGCGTCGTTCCTGAGAAACACCAAAGGAAAGCAAGCAGTGAGCGGGTTTGTAAAAATGGTCATGCAGATCCCCCCCCCTTTTATTATTAGGAAACAGTCAAAATTAAAGTCATTATCTAGAAATAAATTTACATCATTTTAGAGGGAGTCCCTGGGTGGTACTTGGCTAGTAGCTAAAAAGTTGCCAATTTGAGCACACACAGAAAAAATAAATCTGTTTTAGGAGAAGTGCAGCCAGGGTGCTTCTCAGAGGCAAGGACGTGAGACTTCCTCTCACATGCGTGTTCTCAGCAGGGGTCGGTCCTTGGCAAAAGGCATCACTCTTGGGAAAAGGGAGGGTTGACAAAGGAGAGGGAGACTTTCAGTGGATGGATTAACATAATGGCTGCAGCAATGAGCAATGCACAGTGAAGACTGAGAGAATGGTACAGGATCAAGCGGAGTTTCAGGCTGTTGGATCTGGTGTTACTTTGAGTCAACTCGATGGCACCTGACGGCAAACAACAGGTAGCACAGGCCCTATCGTTTGTTTCTGGATGGTGACACCCATATGGGGCAGCAGCTTTGGGGGCTGTCATGAGTTGGCGTTGACATGATGGCAACTGACAACAACTATTTTAGAAAAACTGTTTAATGGTTCTAAAGCAAATATGAAGCTCTTAAGGTTTGGTTTGGTTTTCAATAAAAGTCTAAGTCTCCATTGCCAACTCAAAATAATTCAGTGGTTCTGAATACATAACCACTCAATGTATTTAGTTATTCCAAATTCACAAGAAAAGAATATTCAGACGTCCTGTTTGTTTTATGTGGCCATCCTGCAATTTCATGTTTAGAAAATGTCATTTCTATCATGTAAATGGCATGTCTGTCTTGAAATGTTCATCGTATTTCCATGTCCCACTTCTATCCCCTTATACTTCTTACACCTCTGTGACTAACTGCTAATAATTGTAGAGTTATTCATAAGTAATCAAATTGTACCCTGATCAAATTATTCAATTGCTGTGATAGTCTGAAGACCACTTAAAAGATATTTAAGCACTACACCTGACATTTCTAGGCCCTAATCACTTTGCAAACCACATAAATGTGTCTAAAGGTTACTACACCATCTTAACTTTCGTGTGTCTGAATGTTATCATCTCCTCTCTGTCCCAACTTAAAACTTACCTCTCAGGGTCCAAATATTTATTTGGACAAGCTTGTAGACCTGTGGCCCCAGTAACTGAGATGAGGACACTCATAAAAAGTAGAATTCCTATACATCTATACACAAAACCCAAAACCACTATCCAGAGGTTGATTCCAACTCCAGGCGACTCCCCCATCAGATTTCTGTGGCTATAAAGACGTACAAGAAGAGACTTTCCACCTCTCTGGGCTCTAAGTACCATGATTGGATTAGCAGCACGGCATATAACAGTGCATTATACTACCAGAACTTCTTATCCATAAGAAAGACTTAAATCCAGTTCTCTACCTCTGAATGGTTACACAAATGGTTAATACATTGGGCTGTCAACAGAAAAGGTGGTGGTTTGGGCCTACCTAAAAGAGCCTTGGAAGAAAGACCTGGTGACTTTTGAAAAATCAGCCCCTGAAAACCGTAGAGGACGTATTTCTGCTCTGATGCATAAGAAATCACTATGATGGCGAGCTCTGGTGGCCTAGTGGCAAGAAGCTGCACTGCAGTCCAAGAGATGCACAGTTGGAATTCACCAGATGCTCTGCTGGAGAAGAAGGAACAATCTCTTCCTATACCAGTCAGATCTGATTTGACGGTACACACAAAAATAATTTTTTTTAAAAAAAGAAATAATTATGAATTGGAATAAACTTGATGGTAGCTAGGTTTTTATTTGGTTGTCTGAGCTTTTTCTTATGATGACACTGAATGTTTACAAAGCAATTTGTTTTTCCACCCAACAATTCATTTGCTTTGTGACATGGATTGCAATCTTTACTTTGTAACAGCACTCTCACCACTTCCTTGTGTTTACCATTTCTACTCAACCTTCTTTCCTATTATCCCTTCCTGCTTTCTAGCTTTACAGTTGGGCAGACACTGCCTTTTTGATTACTATGGTTGTATAGTTAGTTGTTCTAAGGAGTGTGTACTTTCCTAGTGTTGCTGTTCAATTTATACCAAATCCACTGCTGTCAAGTTGAGTGAAGTTCAACTAATAGTCACCTTCGTCAAGTTTCTGAGACTATAAATGTTTACAGAAGGAGAATGCCCAACGTTTTGCTCAAAGCAGTTGGTGAATTTTGAGCTTCTGACTTCTTGGTTAGTAGTGCAATTTGCACTATGACACCAAAGCTCCACATTCACCTTACAAGCCTGTCTACTGCTTGGTTGAAAGTTGAATCCTGGAGGTGGATTCCATTCCAGGCTTGAGGGGTGTCTGGTTGACAAGTAACAGAAACATAATGAGTCCGAATCAATTTCCCAAATATATATTAACTTTTATTTCTTTTATTATCTATCAGCTTTTATTTCTTTCTTCCGACTCTCCTAATTCAGCACATATGCACACACACACACACACACACACACACACAGCACATTATTATCGTGGCTGCATTTATGACTTATTCCAATTTTTCTTACTATAACAGTTCCATGTTTCAGGTACTTAATGATTCTACCATTTAAAGGAATCTCAGGTGTCCTGGTAGTACCCTGGTTAAGTGCTCAGCTACCACCAAGAGCCTGAGAGAAAGACATGGCCATCTGCTTCTGTAAATATTATATGCCTTGGAAGCCCAATGAGACAGTTCTGTTCTGACCTACAGAAGCAACAGGCTACAGATGGCAATAGGCTTCTTGTTGCTGGCAGTGGTGGTTTAAAGGGATTTTAGTTTGGACAAGTTCAAGGATAAAAGAAATTTTGAAAGCAAGAAGATTTTTAGCATTAAGTAAACCATAAAAACCTAATTTGAGTCTATATGTTCTGACCTAGGATATCAAACTAAGGGCAGAAAAATAACTCTCTAATCATAGCTTAATGCAGGAGGACTTTTAACCTCAGCAGCTGTGAAACACCATTTTCAACCTTGTATATAAAACAACTCAACTTGCTATCAAGTCAAAACCAACTCACCCTCCAGTGACACCCTCTGGTGACATTCTGAGGCTGTCAATCACAACACTGACTATCAGGAAGAGTATAGTCAATGAAAATGATCAGTTGTCACCATGCAAGTGATGTCTAAATATGTAAAAACAGACCCTATCATATGCTGTAATTTACGGCCTCAAACACTCATTCAGAAAGGGAGAGATTGCCCATCTTTCTCCCTTAGAGCCTCTGATGGCTTCAAATTGTCAGAGAGCTCTGGCTTTTGGGTTCACAGCACAACTCCCTAAGGACTGTACCACAAGAGAAGCTGAAAAGGAACAGGAAGAGTCTGGTTCCAAGTGTAAGATGAGAACCTTGGTTCTTATCAGCATATGCTTCTTGGTTCCAGCACCCATGTGGTCTTGATTGGGTTTTCTAGTTGTTTGATGTTCACCTACATTGTTTCTGTAGCAACGTTTTAAAGAATCCCTGAGCAGCACAAATGCTTAAGCACTTGGCTCATAGTGACTCAGAGGTGCCTTGGAAGAATTGTCTGGTCATTTATTTCTGTAAGGCCAAAGGTTCTGGAGCACAGCTCTGTTCTAACACTTACGGATGGGGTCCTCATGAGTCAGAAACAACTTGATGGCAACTAGTTCTGTTGGTTGGGTGTCTGGGTTTTTGGAGAGGAGGGGTAACTCTATTTTGAGCCTTGATAATGGAGTTTTTGTTGCTTTGTTTGCACCAGCACCTTGTGGGAAAGATGTTTGTCTAAAAAAACCCTCGATTCATTGTTATTTTAGTGAAAGGTGCTCTTCATCTCACTCTCTCAGAGGTCAATTCTGAGGCTGAGACAAGAGCTTTTATTTCTTGAGCGGATTCCAAGAATAGCGATATGAGCCTTCTCCATGTCATTTCAGAAGCAAGGGTGGGTCCAAGGAGCTCTGCTGTTCTAGTGGGTCAGGAGCTGTACTGCCAATCCAAACCAAGTGGCTACAATCTCAGTTGCTTCATGAGAGAAAGATGAGGAATCTTCTCTTATGTGATTCATACCTTCTAAAACGCCATGGGACAGTCAGTTATGAGTTGGGTACAACTTGTAGGCAATGAGTTGTTGACCTGTTTTGTTGACGGGTCATATGGCTTACATTTCATTAACCCTTTAATCTCTGAGATTTCTTCCATCTTGACTGAAATATGTTTTCTCATTGTTTTAGCAAGAAAATCCAAATCTAATATATTCATTTTACCTGTGTGAATCAATTTTTTAAATCTAATATTCAATTAGACAGAGGACTAAATGAAAATCATGTCTTTCTTTCTTTCCAATTACTGACACGGCTTAAATTGGTTCTATGGAAACAGTCCCATTTGTATGCATTGAGCAATTACAATTTAGTTGCTTCTTAAAATGTGATGTTTGAAAGTTTCCCAAATGCTGAGATTTGCTTCATGTTTATGTTAACTTGCTATCAGTTTTCATTTAAAGTTTTCAATTTTGAGGTTTGTTCAGTAAAGTTATAGTTCATTTTTGGAAGAAAAAGGCAAAGTCAGGGCAGTGTCTTTACAAATTACTTTGTTTCTCTTTCTTGAGAAAGATATATATCTTTCATATCTTATTATGCACTTATTATCAACCTTTATTTCTTACAATGAAGGGGTGGGGGTGGGGAAGAAAAAAAAACAACCCTGAATTATCATTCTTGGGAGAAATATCTAGATGGAAACCTATGGGTTCTAAAAACTCATTGGGGCCTCAAAAGTAGAGTTTTCTGCTAGTTTTACTTGAAATATAAAATCTCTCCTGCCCAATTAGTGTTTGTGAGATAATGAAATGTACTCCTACAGAGTTGTTGTTGTTGTTGTTATGTGCTGTCAAGTCACCTGCGATTCATAGTGACCGTATGTACAACAACCCTAAATCCTTCTCTATTTCATGCCAATCTTA